GTTTGGGGGAGAAACAAATGAGTCGGGGAGAGAGGAGACGACGAATTTGTCGTCTTCTGCAGAAAAAGGGGCTGAGGTCTTCCCCCTTTCCTCCCTCAGCTGGATAATTGGGGTCCAGCAGCCCCGTTTCACCCTCATTTCGCACAATTCAGGAGCTTTTTTTTAAATATTAAGGCTTTACCAAGGTCTGGAGCCGCATAAAACCTTCCCCGCTCTCCATCCTTCGCCAGACTCGCCCAGGCTTTACCGTTAACTGACGCTGGGATCGGAGGAGCTCCCCCCTTTTTCTCGCTTGCAGCTGCAAATCGAACTTTAAACCCGCCGCCGCCGCCGTCGTAGCCGCTTTTTGCCGACGAATAGCCGCTTTTTGCCGCCGAAAACACCCCGCCGGCGTGAGGCTGCGGTTTAATTGATCCCCCCTCAAATAAACACGGGGCAGAGCAAGGTGCGCGGTACTGCGGTGTAATTTTACTAAAACACCCCGTATTTTCCCCTTCCTGGGGTTTTCTACGGTGCTTTGTAGCAGGAAAATTTTTTGGAAGCCTCGTGGCTTTTCTGCCTTTTCCTTGATTCTCTCCGAGCGTCTTCGTTGTGACTTTTTGGGGGATAAAATGTACCAAATCCCCTCTCCGTCCCCAAAACCACCGCATCCCTTCTCCTCCACCCGTAGGAAAGGTTCGGAAGGGATTCGACCGCCGCCGGGCAACCCGAGGCGGCGCTGACGGATCTCCCTCCCCAGTTTTCCCCCCCCTTTTTCCCTTGGATCTGTGCCGAGGATTTGTCGACGATAACCCCTCTCCTCTTTCCTAGCGGATTCTCGAGCCGGATGACTTCCTGGATGATTTGGATGATGAAGACTACGAGGAAGATACGCCGAAGCGGAGAGGGAAGGGGAAAGCCAAGGTGAGGAGCAGCTGTGGCTGGTTTTGGTGATGTTTCCTGGCAAATCTGAGACGTTGCCGGTGCCGAAACAACCCCGACGCCTGCCGGGGCTCGACCACGTCCGTGTTAAACCTCACGTCGGGGAATATTTGGCCGTGCTTGACCTGGTAGGGCAGGCTGAGCGGAAAACACACCCCGGAGCCTCGGCTAACTCGGCGTTCGTTAACCACTAACGCCCGTTAGTCACCGAAAACCACCTACCGCGCGAGAAATAACGGCGGGGTGAGAGGAGGGGAGAGAGATCTCACCGGGATTTGCCCCTTCCCAACGTGGGAAAGACCCAGAGAGGATCCCGAGGGATCCGGGTCGTCACTCAACGCCTTCAGTCCTCGCCGCTCGCGTCCGAGGGCCGTTCCGGGCCGTACCCACTACGTGGCACTGTCGCATCGCGGGTTTTTTTGCCGATGCCGGAGCTCCGGTAGCGTCTTCCTCGCCACCCAGGAACCTTTTGGGTCCGAATTTGACCTAAACCTTGGCTTTTTTATTTATTTTTCTTCCCCCACCCGCCACCCCAGGGCAAAGGTGTCGGAGGGGCTCGTAAGAAACTGGACGCGGCTATTTTAGAAGACCGGGATAAACCCTACGCTTGCGACAGTGAGTACTAAAAACCTCGCCTCGCCCGGGAGCGGAGCAGGGCCGCCGTGCTTTGGGGAAATCCATCGGGTTTGCTACCAAAATTTGGGGTTTAAAACCTCAAAAAGGGAGATTTACGCATCCGGGGGAGGGGGGGGGCGGTGTTTTGGGAATTCCTTGGACTCTCAGCCCTCCTCCTCCGACGGGCGAAGACGGCTGAGAGTTTTCCCACCGGGAACCGCGGTCACCTCGCCCCGAGCAAAGGGCGGTGCAGCCACCCGGCACCTAGAAATGAGGAGAAATCTCTCCCGATCAGGCAAACACTCCCTCACAAAGGTTAAACCCCCCCTTCCTCGTTTACCCAACCAGCTTTCCCAGTTGGATCCCTGTCCCTCAGACTGGTTTCGAAGCCGACCGCCATCCCCGTCCTC